TTTTCTAAGGAAAATAAAAAACGTAAATCGTGCTAAACAATGATTCTTAATAATTATAGTGACGTTAAACGTAACTCACGCGTGGCGCACGTGTAGTCATAATTATACGAACGTTTAAAATGCAATTTGTGAAAATCGATAAAAAAACGAATGGTTTGAATAAAATTATAAATGGAAGCATGAAGAATCGCATAATGATCGCGACCATTGGGATGAGACGTGAACATATATAATTATCAATAATTTTTATACCATAAAAGAGCTTATTTTTCTCGTATATCGCGGCATGCAACTCCGAACGCGCAATCTGTGAATGATTAAAATAGAAATGACATTCTTGGACAAAGTTGATTGTTTCTCGCATCGTACTCCACCACGATTATCATATCTGACAATAATTGATAATTACAGGTATTTTAATTATTTATAAAATGAACGGATTTGGCAACACAATCTGTGAATGAGCATAGAATCAGGAACGACATTTCGAATAACAAAGTCATAATTCCTCGCAGTATACTCTATCGAGATAGTAAATGGCCGACCTTGACATTCTATCAAAATAAATAATCTTTATATGTCACAGGTTCATTGTAAAAGCAGCTTTTTTATAAAAAGATTTAGCCGATTCATATACGAAGCATTGATCGGATTTTGATAAAAAACCTAATCTCTTTGAAAAAAGGCTAAATTTACAAAGGATCTGTAACATTATATACATATGTACATATATATCTATAGACTTCTCCTCTCGAGAGTGATCGAAGTAAAACCGATTCTTTACAACAAATAACTCTTGCATCATTTCTCTCTTTTCGCGAATATTAACGCACCAATCTCGATAAATACCATGAAAAAATAAGTAAATAATATTATTTATATTTTATTTAAAAAAAAAAATCCATTTTGCCTAATATGACAGGTCGCGCAAAAGAAAAAGAGAGAAGAGAGAGTATATATGAATGCTTGATAATTATTTATATTTTGATTTTAGCTTAGTAATATGCAATTGCAAAGAATCGTAAAAAATTATCGCAACAAAAACTCAATCTTGTAGCGATCTTATAGATTTCATGCGACACGTAGTGCGGTATACTTTGTCTGTTGTGAGGATACGAAAACGCGCGCGGTCGTGCGTTAATCTCACGAGAGAGACTCGCGCGTTAGGAAACGGGGAGTATCCGTGTAAACTGAATTGCGCCGATGTCGGCGTGAAATTAAAACGTACGGGAAACCGGTTTCTTCGGACGAGAGACGGATACGTAGAGATATATGTACGTACGCACCGCGATGCACTTACCCGTTGCAGCGGCTCCGCAAAGGCGTGGAATACGAAGAGCGCGTGCGCCGAAATTTATAATCGGAATAAATTCCAGCGAAGTGAAAAACGCGACATCTCGGACTATCGTATCTCGTGTTCTTGCATCATTTCTCTCTTTTCGCGATTATTAACGCACCAATCTCGATAAATAACATGAAAAAATAAGTAAATAATATTATTTATATTTTATTTAAAAAAAAAAATCCATTTTGCCTAATATGACAGGTCGCGCGAAAGAAAAAGAGAGAAGAGAGAGTATATATGAATGCTTGATAATTATTTATATTTTGATTTTAGCTTAGTAATATGCAATTGCAAAGAATCGTAAAAAATTATCGCAGCAAAAACTCAATCTTGTAGCGATCTTATAGATTTCATGCGACACGTAGTGCGGTATACTTTGTCTGTTGTGAGGATACGAAAACGCGCGCGGTCGTGCGTTAATCTCACGAGAGAGACTCGCGCGTTAGGAAACGGGGAGTATCCGTGTAAACTGAATTGCGCCGATGTCGGCGTGAAATTAAAACGTACGGGAAACCGGTTTCTTCGGACGAGAGACGGATACGTAGAGATATATGTACGTACGCACCGCGATGCACTTACCCGTTGCAGCGGCTCCGCAAAGGCGTGGAATACGAAGAGCGCGTGCGCCGAAATTTATAATCGGAATAAATTCCAGCGAAGTGAAAAACGCGACATCTCGGACTATCGTATCTCGTGTTCACACGCGATGCGCGAAAAAAGATCTTGGAAGTTTGTCTCGAAATATATGAAGATTGTCATCGAGGGGAACGCCGCCGGTGACACGTGCGGGCCATGTACGCGTGTATGCTATCGTTTTGTTTACTTTCGTTTCGTCGAACAAATTTGAACCGAAATTCAAGCTTGTTAGAGCTCGCGTGACGATACACTTCGAGAAACTCTATTAGCTGTACTTCTCCCGTATTACTCGCGCAGAGAGGCCGTTTGTGTACTGCCGCGTTTAGGTATTTCGTCGCCATAAGCAAGTCGGACGAAGACACGCGATTATCCGGAACGGACGTCGAAATACACGCTTCGATAGTAATCCGTTACATCTTTAACAAGTTGAAGCGCCGTGAATGACACAGTTCTAACTCTCAGTTATGACAGGATTAGATTAACGCCATGGCTCTAATAGAGAGTATTTTCTAGCTACTTTCGTAATTATTATCGAAATAATATAACATCGCTTGATACATGAACAAGATTTTACTCTCTTTGAAAAATTAAATATGTGTCGTTTATATGTATACCATTTGTTTTAAAAATAATTTCGATAACTATATATAATCAAGTAACTATATAATATTAATAGAGAATAATCTATTAATAAAAAAAAAAAAAAAAAAAAAAAAAAAAAAATCTTTGCAAAAAAACGCGTTCCCTGGAATTTTGAACAAAAATACCTGGAAGATCAGGGAAATTTTCAGGAAATTTTTTTTACAAAATTCCAGTAAAGACCCTATCTCTGTGAAAAAAAAAAACTAAGACATTGTACAATAAACGCGTGCTTCAACTTTTAACATTTCTCGCGTAAGAGCAGAATAGAAAAGCGTATTTTTCTATGGAATTTCATAATAGCTATCGACAATATTTACTAAACACACGTTTACATATCAAGTGCCGTCAAGATATGAACCAACTGCAAACTCTGTCGGTCGCTTATTAGAAACGTCACGATTCTCAAGTCGCTAAATTCCAATCATCTATGATGGCGGTAGGAAAGTCCAAAAGTACGAGCATCCGCTCAGAATTTGCATTTCCTCGAGCCATTGACAGCATTC